TTTTTTGTCTCTGTTTCTCTTTGAATTAATGTTGGTTCCTGGAGGACTACCAGGCAAGTGCCTGCAGTTTTTTTGATTAGGTTTTTCAGAAGTGGTTTGCCATTTCCTCCTTCTTAGGGCTGAGAAAGAGTGATAAGGCCAAGGGTCACCCAGGTAGGCAGGACTGGAACTCACACTATCCTGGTTTCTAACCTAATGCTTCAACCATTATACCAAACTGAATTAATCATCATCATTTGAATTAATCTCATCATTTTTAAACTCTCTGTGATGCTTCCTTTTGCTTAGCTCTAAAAGGCTTGAAAAGATGTTTCTAGTTATTAATGTTACATATATACTGAAAAACTACAGAATGTCTGCAGATATGGAACTACTCTTAATTTGACTTTGTCTCAAAAGGGAAATTCAGAAGGTGAATCACAATTCAAACCAGGAAAGACTGCTTTATGTTCTTAAGGGAGAGTTAATACCCAAGATCACTTAATACAAATTGATCATGTTTCAACTTTCAAAAAATGATGCATGGAGAAGAAAGAGAAATACAAGAAAGCGCTACAAGGCTCTTCAAATCACACAAAAGTTAATTTGCTATAGATCAGGGGTCCCTAACCCCTGGCCACAGCCCACTATTGGGCCTCAGCCTGTTTGAAACCAGGCTGCTCCATTAATGGTCAAGTGGTGCAAAGCTCCACTCAAGTGAATGTGGGCCCTTGCGCTTGCATGCAAAGCTCCACTCACAGGAGCGGAGGGCGCTTGAGTGGAGGATGCTTGTGCTTGCACGCAAAGCTCCGTTCGTGCGAAATGGAGCTTCACGTGTGAGCACTCTCCACTTGCACGAGGCCACGGTCTGTTACCCTTTCTATTTTTACATCTGCTGTTGGGAGGTCTTCTCATAAATTTCTTGAACCACTCATCTTCAAGAGCTGAAGAATTCAGTGAGTGAAAAATTGAGAAGATTTTCATTTATTTCTGCTAATGTCAATGTATCTTTGCCTGTGGGAGTTTCTAGATTTACTTTTGTATACTTTGAGCTAAATGCTTGGGTTTATCCTATTTCCTGCATTCTTTCCCATAAGATGGATAGGGATTTAGCTCTGTTGTTGCTATGCTTACTTAAGCCTCTACCGTTTCTGCATATCTTTTTGATCAAATGGTCTTCTAGTGGCTAACCACAGTTCTGTTGAACAAGTACACATTCACAAAAGTCCTGCCATGTCTCTTGAAATAAGGCTATTGGAATTTAATCCCAAATAATTGCGATTTCAATTACAAATTGAAAAAAAACCAAACATAACAACCCTAAACCAAAACACAAATAATCAGTAATTAACTGCAACAAAAACCTTTCTAATATGGTAGTTTTAATCGCCTCATTATGTTAACTAAGCAAATGTCTTCAGGGATAATGTTTCATAAATATGGTTCCATGACTCCGAAAAACAAAATTCTATTTTCCTGAAAGGAAAGTAATTCCCAGTTTAAGAGAATGCTATTTCAAAAGAAAAATGGACTAAAATAAAAATAAAATAAAATAAACCCAAAGAGTGTCCAATTCTCCACTTTTTCAGCCTGAAACTGCCCCTTTGACTGAAATCAATTCAGAATATTTCCCCTTTCTAGTAAACATACATTTTTATCATCCCTTGATTAATTGCCTGCAAAATAGAGTATAAAATCTAGCATATAAGAGTTGGGTTTTTTTGCTGACAAACCTGTTGTAAGCAAAAGAGCATTTATATTTTTCCTGCCATAAATTGCTCAGCGTTAGAATCAGGTTTATCTCAATACATTTTCAACAAGTGCACCAAGAGAATTTGTACATAGATTCAGCACCCTGTGGACTTGATAGGGCTTGGACAAAATTTATAAGTGCTAACATTCATCAAGGCAATGTCCTCACTTGGCCAACAGATGTTTTAAAATAAGGGACAGAAGTTACAAGATTTTAGTTTATTTAGAATCCTTCAATCAAGCAAGATTGTTAAAAGTCAGAGGACAAAAGGAGGGGGTTAAAACTGGTGTAACTTTGAAGCCATGTCTGATCCAAGTTATAAATTTTGATGGACTAATAATCTGTTTACTAATAAACATACACGTTAGCAGACTAGGGGTGGCAGTAGTCAATCCACAGTAGAGAGAAACAACTCAACACATTTTTAGCCTATGATTTTTAAGTCACATCAAACCAAGTTATACTTAACAGAATAAGGAACCTGGGAGGTCTTCTAGTCCAACCCCCTACTCTAGCAGGAGACCCTATCTCATTTCAGACAAATGGTCGTCCAATCTGTTCTTAAAAAATCTCCAGTATTGGAGCACCCACAATTTCTAGAGACAATTCGTTCCACTGGTTAATTGTTCTCACTGCCAGGAAATTTCTCCTTATTTCTAGCTTGATTCTCTCCTTTTTTACTTTCCCTCTCTTACTTCTTGTTCTGCCTTCAGATGCTTTGGGGAATAGGTTGACTCCCTCTTCTTTTTGGCAGCCCCTATTGGGACGCTGCTATCATGTCACTCTTAGTCCTTTTCTTCATTAAACTAGACATACCCAATTCCTGTAATTGTTCTTCATATGATTTAACTTCCAGTCCTCT